GGGGCCAAGGCGCCGCCGAGCTTGCCGGGACTTGAAGTCCTGAGCCCTGTGTCTTAATGGTTGATGGAGAGCCGCCGAACTCGCCTTCCCACCAGGCAACGGGGCCCTCGGAAGGGACTCGCGCAATGCACGCCGGGAGGCGTAGTCCGCGCGTCGCCTCCGTAGCGCAGGGACAGCGAGAGGTGAGAGGTGAAGTGGGCGGGGCTTCGGGAGCCCGCGATGAAGGCCCCATAGTGCCCTGCGCGCGCGCGGAAAGTGTGGCGGAACAGGAAGTGGCGTAAAGATGCACTTTGCCGATAAAAAGATGCAAGGAAATAGTAGTTCCGCAGAGTGGACATGGGGGGAAAAAAGTCCCTGCTAGTTAAGAGGGTCGTGATGAGTCGTAGTCAGGGTAGCTATCAACAAAGGGGGGCTCACCCCATCCCCTTATCCTAGGATTCTGAGAATCTCAACTCCCTAGTCTAATATAAATGTAGAGCCAAAGACCCCCGAGGCTATAGCCTTCCCCTCCTTAGGGAAGTGGGTTTCCTCCTCCCTCACATTCCGGAGTTCTAGACTCTTTCGTTAGACTTAGCATTCCGTCCCTCCGGACCCTCTTCCAATCAAACTAGGTCCATCTGATCCCTAACTCTCACTTAATAGGAAAAAGAGTCCAGATTCCTCCATCCCATTTCCCTCAATCCTAGAATTCCAAGTTACCAGGCTTGGTCCAAGATTCCAAGTCTCTTAACTCCCTTTGCTGAATCTAACAGTAAGGAACCCACCGCCCTCATCACTCCAGGACCCAAGACTCCAAACCTCCAACCCCATCCTCTCCCATGGACCCAAGATGCTGCTTCCTAAGCTGCTTTTCCAGCACCCATAAATCCTGGCCATAAACCCTTCAGGACCCAGGAGTCCGGACCTAGGCAAGCTGGCTCATGGGTTAGGAATGCAGTGATCTCACGGCTCCTCCCTGCCCGTTACCCGGCTTTCCCCCTCTCGGGGCCCCAGCTCTTCTCTCAGTCTATCTTCCGTTTGGCAGGGACAGCAGGAACCGGAAGCTTAAGTCTCTTTGCAGGCGGAGACTGTAGCCTCCAGCCCAGACGCCTGGGTCATGAACTTGACTAATAGCCTTGGTAGGAGGTGGAACTTCCCCTTAGGACCCTCTCCTTCGTGGGAGCGCGCCTATATACGGCCGCGCGTGAGCCCGGCCTCCCAGCCTCGGGATCTTCATTTACATAACCCCGCCCCGAACCCATCTCGTCCCGCCCCCAGATGCTCCGCTAGTTTTAAGAGCGCGTGGAGCGGCTTAGTGTAAAATTCTCTTATTAGCATATGCCCGCCTCTTTCGGAATTCCCCGTAGTCGCGAAGGTTGTTGACCCGCCTATATTTGCATAGCTCCTCCTCCCTCGTCTTGCCTCCTCCTTAAGTGTCCTGAGACACGAGCCCTCGTCGTGGGAGCTGATGAATATGCAGTAGCTTCATTAGAGTAGCCTGTCCTGAGGCCCCGCCCGGCTGCCCCCAGGCCCCGCCCGGCTCCCCCCAGGCGGTAGAGGCGGCGGCAGCAGCAGTGGCGACATGAGCAGCGGGGCGGCGTCCGGGACGGGGCGGGGGCGGCCCCGGGGCGGGGGGCCGGGGCCTGGGGACCCCCCGCCCAGCGAGACACACAAGCTGGTGGTCGTGGGCGGCGGCGGCGTGGGCAAGAGCGCGCTGACCATCCAGTTCATCCAGGTAGTGGGCCCTCACCCTGGGGGGGGTGTTCCTGGGACCCAGCACTGAGCCCTTTGGGTGGGGACCCTTAACATCCCAATTTCCCAAATACCTGTCACTCGGTCCTTACTATGAAGCCCTCTAATCTCAGAAGAGCTCCCCAGATTGTAGACCTGAACCCTGCCAGGGACCACCACCCCTTATACTTGGGACCTTCCTCTTGCATCCTGAGACCCTCCACCCATTTCCAAAGTATCCAAGACCCTCCTTTCCAACTGAGCTGGCCCCAGTGACTCCCGGCATCACCCCACACCAATAGATTCACTTCATTCTCATCCTGAGCCTGCAAAGGTCTACACCTCCCCATACTCCAGCTCCACTCTTCAATCTCTTCTTTGACCCAAAACCTCTGAGGGGCACCTTTAAGATATTTTTTTTTAGTATCAGTATTGGGGAGCTTCCCCAGTATCTAGAAATGACGCCCAAACCTTGTTCCTTCTGGAGCCAGCCAGTCCCAGGGGAGGCCTTTACCCTGGCTCTGAGAAGATTTAAACTTCAGTCCCTAGAAACTTCAAGCAGATCTTGTCCGTTGGCCATTCCAAAAAAGTCCCAAAATCTCATGTCTCATGACTCCCCACATCCCACCTGTCCCAGTCTCTCTGTACCCTGAGTTTTCCTACACAACATGCCCCATTTTCCTGTGATGTCCCCCTAAGTCGTCTGCCCCTAGGCATCTCTGACACTTTAAGACCTCATCTGACCCTAGAACTCCATCTCGAGACTCTAAACCCACTCACCCCTGTACTATTCCAGGATAGATCTCCCCATGCCAGGAGTCACCTCAGCATTCACCCCCAGTTTTCAAGCTGTGCTCTTGAACACGCACCCCTAACCTCCACCTCTCAGCTGCAGCCCTCCAGGACCTGTTCCCTGCGTCCTGGTTCTGAGACAAGGCTTCTCTGAGGTCCTCTCTCACTGATGGCTTTCCATCCTTCAGACCCCCAGCCACCACCAAATCATCCCCTCTCTCAAAACTTCCATCCTGCCCTGTTCCCTTCTCATGTCAGAGAAACCCCAGCATGGTAACTTCCCCTGAGGTCCGAGGCCCTGGGACCCCAGACCGTTCAAGGATGCTAGCAAGCCTCTGCGTCAGGGATCCTCTCTCTGGGAACAGAAAGCCCAAGTTCCAGGTCCCCAGCCGCCAGGAGCTGACCCAGAACAGGCCAAAATCTGGGCTGGCGAGGGCAGGACCCAGGCAGGAAGGGAGGGACCCGGCCAAGGGTGGGGCAGCCTCTCTAAGGCCGGGTTGGAACCAGGACCTTCCCCTGGGAGGAGACACTGAAGGCCAGCGGAGAAGGAGGGGAGGAGGGGAGAGGAGGAAGAGGAGGCGGGAGAGTTGGATAGGGTACAGCACACTTTCAGCACAACAGCTCCCTAACTGAGGGCTTACTGCATGCTGGCTGAGGTGTTAAGTGCTTGAAGGGGATTTTCCCAGAATTTCCCAAGAGCTGATTAGATGTCACATATTCGTTTTCTTTTCTAAATGAAGAGAAGTGATCCCTCCCATGTCACACAACTATGAAGTGATTACAGTGACAGACAGAGATGGACTTGGTGCCAGACAGAGAGGACCCAGAAAGACTAAGAGAGATAAGGGAAGAGATTATAAAGGGAAGAGACTGAGGGGAGGGTCGGAGGAGAGTAGAGAATGAGGGAGGCCAGGAGAGAAGAGAGAGAGAGAGAGAGAGAGAGAGAGAGAGAAGGGAGGCCAGGGGAGGGGGCACAGAGACCCAGAGAGAAAGGAATAGAGACCCAAAGAGAAGGTAATAGAAACCCAGAGAGAGAGAATGACTGGGACCCAGAGAGAGAGGGTAATAGGGACCCAGAGAGAAGGTTAGATAGAGACCCAGAGAGAGGATGATAGAGACCCAGAGAGGAGGTAATAGAACCACAGAAAAGTGGGAAACAGAGACCTAGAGAGAGAGAAAGAGAGAGAGACAGAGCGTAGGAGGGGACAGACAGTCAAAGAGAGGGACAGAAGAGGACGCAGCGGCCCAGAGTGAGAAGGACAGACCCAGAAGGGGGCACCCAGGGCAGGGTGCATCCTCTCTGGGGGGCTCTATCGTAACGGTGCCCTCCCCCACCCCCAGTCCTACTTTGTGTCTGACTACGACCCCACCATTGAGGACTCCTACACCAAGATCTGCACAGTGGATGGCATCCCTGCCCGGCTGGACAGTGAGGACGGCAGGGGGTGGTGGGGGGCAGCTAGGGGGGTCCCGTGAGGGTTGCTGGGGCGGGGAGAACCTTGTCCCACGTGATCCTCCCCCCCCCCCCCCGCCTTCCCCACAGTCCTGGACACGGCAGGCCAGGAGGAGTTTGGCGCCATGCGGGAGCAGTACATGCGTGCCGGCCACGGCTTCTTGCTTGTGTTCGCCATAAATGACCGGCAGAGGTGAGGGCTGTGGGGGACAGAGTGAGGGATGGGGCCTCCCCTTCTGTCAGCCTTTCACTCCTCTCCAGAGCTGACCCTGCTTCCCTCCTGCTCTGAGACCTCCATAGCTCTAAAGAGCCTCAGGGTATCATTTTAAACCTTTCTTACCACTGGGAAATGCTAACGGGAAGGTCAGTGGTTCAAATCCACCCGCCTCTCTGAGGGCTTTCAGAAAGATCCCAGCCTCGGGAATTTCTGTGGGGCAGCCCCCCACCTCCGTCCTACAGAATTGCTGTGAGTCAAGAGTGGGCCACAGGTTTGGTTTTGGGGTCTCGTCCACAGTTTCAACGAGGTGAGCAAGCTCTTCACACAGATCCTCCGCGTCAAAGACCGCGACGACTTCCCCACTGTGTTGGTCGGGAACAAGGCAGACCTGGAGGCCCAGCGGCAGGTGGGGGACCCCGGGGACCCCCTCAGGATGGGGAGGAGCTCATCTCCGCATACCTCCTGTGGTTGCCGTCCTCTCCTCACCCCGGCACCTGAGATGTCTGCAGCCCCTACCTTAGCTCACACATCATGGGGCACTGCAGAGGTGTTCTCCCCAAGTCAGACTTTAGGGTCCCCTAGCGCTGCCTGATGGGAAACCAGATCCCAGGAGTCTCCAGAGAGCAAGAAATGGTAGTTCATTAAGCTGCTTGTCTTGTCCGGCCTCGCCCTCTTGGTTCCTACAGCCCCGTCATTCTCAGCCCTGCATCTCCCCCGCCTGGACCTCACCCCAGCCTCCAGCCTCTCCTACTTGACCCCAAAGCTGACTCTGCTCCTCTCCTGCCCAGGGACCATTCTGGCTCCCTAGTGTCCCCAGGGTTTAACCTGCCTTCTGTACCCTGAGAAGCTCTGTCCCTTTCTCTCCTGGGGGAGCGGGTTTCGAGCAGCTCAGGTCTGGCCACTAATCTGTCTCAGTTCCTAGTGCTGCGAGTGGGGAGGTTTAAGGAACAGAAATGGAGTTTCTCACTCAGTTTAGGAGGCTCAGAGTTCAAATCTCTCTCCTGCTCAAGGGGACAAGGAGCCCTTCTGTCACAGTGATTAAAAGAGTATAGCTGATAACGGAAAGGTTGGTGGTTCGAGCCCACCAGCTGCTTCTTGGGAGAAAAAAAATAAGTAGGCTGCTTCTGGAAAGATTCCTAGCCTTAGAAATTGTGTGTGTGGGGGTGTCTTCCAACTAGGAAAGTTACTTAGAATTACAATAAAGATTACATCAATTCTATAACCTTAAAAAAAAAAAGAAATTGTGGGGGGTGATTCTGCTCTGTCTTACAGGGTCCCCCGAGTTAGGACCTACATGGTATCAGCAGGCCAAGCAGCTTTCTCATTGTTCCTTGAGGTTTCCACGTGCTGTCTTCCTCCTACTTGAGCTCATTTCTCTCTGTGTTCTGTTGTTAGGTCTCATCTGCCCCATAGAGTTCCGAAGTTGGGAATCTCTTTGGGGAATTGCCAGGTTTGTCTTTGGTGAGCCAGCTAGTGGGTTCGAATTGCCAGCCTTTCTGTTAGCAGGCAAGCACTTGACCATTTTGCTACAGGAGCTCCTGGTCTTGTGGCTAACCAGCTCTTTTTTGGGGTCTCATTCCCGATTAGAGCTAGGAGCCATCCTACACGGATATGGATTGATCTGGTGACTGTAGCAATGGACTCAAACACAGCCCAGGGCAGGACATGGTTCTGATCTGGTATTCATAGGATCATGGTCGACTCAAAGTCACATTACAACAACAGCAGCTCCTGAGGCTAGGAATCCTTCTCTTTAAAAAAAAAATTATTAGGGAGCTCTGGTGGCCTAGTGGCAAGACGCTGCACTGCAATCCCAGAGGTACATGGTTCAAATCCACCAGATGCTGTGCTGGAGAAGGAGGGGGCAATCTCCTCCTGTACCAGTCAGATCTGATTTGACGGTACACGTAAAAATAATATAATAAAATTTTTTAAAAAAGAAAAACATTATTATTATTTTGTGTGTACCATCAAATTGGATCTGACTGGTACAGGAGGAGATTGTCCCTCCTTCTCCAGCAGAGCATCTGGTGGATTCGAACCGCGCACCTCTTGGGATTGCAGTACAGCTTCTTGCCACTAAGCCACCAGGAAGTCCTTCTTTTCTAAGAGGAGATGGCCCTTCTTTCTTAGAGCGGCTGGTGGATTTGAAATGCCAACCTCCTGGTTTGCAAACAGACACCACCAGGGATTCGCATATAGAGTTAATGAGCTGAAAGGCCAGTGATTTCTTGGAAGAAAGGGCTGAGGATCCACTTCTGAGAAACTCAGTCTCTGAAAACCCTGTGGGGTGACGCATGTGGGGGTCACCCTGAGCTGGAACTGACTGGCTCCCCCACCTAGTTCCCAGGGCTCTGTTATTGCCACCAGAGAACTCGCCTTTTAGATGAGGCCTTTGGGGCTTTCCAGAGTTGGCTAAAACTGTCTCCTCTGCCTGGAATACCCTTTCTTCTCCTTTGCCTGAGGAACTTCTAGTTATCTAACACCCCAAAGGGCAGACATCTGTGGCCTCCCCTTTACCAAGTCGCTTCCCGCTCGTGGTGTGTTTCTGAGGCAGAAAATCTTAACAGGAGGATATGGCCCAGCACGTAACACGCTGCACCACCATGGCTCTTTAACTCGACGCATTCACTCCCTGCCATTTAATTGATTCCTCATAGCTTCTCCAAAGCTGTGGGTCCTACAGATCACCTATCTGTTTCACTCAAGAACATGGCCTATGTTTCTCCTGAGCAGCAGTGGGTGGATTCAAACCACCAGAGAAGCAAAATCTTTGGTTTAGTAGCACAGCGCTCTACTGACTGAGCCACCACCTAACTCCTTACAGGGGATCAGCCCTCCTTGGGTGATCTCCAGTTTTCTGGACTTTTCTTTCTTTCATTGGAAGCACCCACAATGCATTCGGTGCGTCTCAGCCTTCCTGTGAAAGCTTTAGGACATCATCAGAAGGGAGGTTCAGGGGTGTATTCACTCACGTGGTGAGATTCAGGCTTTAAACATTTCCTTAAACACACACACACACACACACACACACACACACACACACACACACCCCAAATGAAGCCAAAACCCTTTTTGTTAATATTTGAGCCTTCCTGCAATGCTGGGCGAGGCGCTTCTGTGGAGAGGGACAGCATACTTGGGAGGAGAAGTGAAAGAGAAGAAGGCCTTCAACCACAGGGGTTGACACAGTGACGGCAGCAGTGGGCTCAAGTGTCAGAGATGATGAAGACGACACAGGGTTCAGGTCTGTTGTTCATCTGAGTTGTAGTTGATGACCCCTAACAGCTACAGAGCAGACTGGTATTCCTTTCAACCAAGCATCCCTAGTTTGTCTTACACTGTTGATGACAATCCCCACATTAATTGTATCCTCACTCTTCCCCATCCCTCTCTGTGGTTCTTGTTTCCACTCATCCATCCACTCTCACCTGTCCCACCTTCTGAGTTTTATCATTGAGCAAGTGCTGTCTTAGTGATCCTGAGTGATGAGGTATTCTGAGGGCTGAGAGACTCTCTGGAGTTATTGTTTATTATGTAAGCCTCTTTGAGGAGCCCTGGAAATTTGTCTGCTAATTGAAAGGTCTGTGGTTTGAACCCACCAAGCCGCTCTGTGAGACAAAGAAGACATGGCAGTTAGCTTCTGTAAAGATTGTTGTTGTTGATTGCCATTGAGTTGAGCACGACTCATAGCGACACTATGAACAAAAGACATGAAGTATTTCTATAACTATCGTCATTTCTCAAAGTTCATAGTTTCCAGAGGCAGGTTGTTTAGGAAGTGGATACGGCTTTGGAAACCCTAGGGGGGCAATTATCTTTCCTATAGGATCTGAGTTGATAATGGAAATCAAAGTGGACAGCAATGGGTCTGGTATTAAGGTGTCAGGAGACTCAACTTTTAGCTTAACAATAGACAGGCCTATACGGTGACCAGTAACACCAGTCAGACACTCGTTCTTTAGAATAACCAGCTACATACAGTCAAAAGAGCAGGCCTTGGCCAAAGAGAGAAACCTGAAGACAGTAAGAGGTATAACAGAGGATTCATGGAAATGAGAATCACAGGGAGGAAGTGGGAAGTGTGCGGTTACATTGTGGGGGTTGTAACCCGTGTCATAAAGCAAAGTGTGTATAAATGGTTGAATGGAAAGGCCAGTTTGCTCTGTAAACTTTCACCCCGTCACAATTTTTTTTAAAAAGCAAAAGCGACAACAAGAGAGAGGCTAAGAGGATATGTGAGAGTGGGTTTAGTGTTTTATATTATTATTATTTTGTGCGTGTGTACCATGAAATCGGATCTGACTGGTACAGGAGGATATTGTCTCTCCTTCTCCAGCAGGGCATCTGGTAGATTCGAACTACGCACGTCTGGGATCAATCATACTATTCTTAAGAAAATAAGGTGGAGAGTGTGGAGGAAAGGGAACAATCGGCCCAAAAATGTGGGACATAACTGTTGCTGGGTCAAAGTACAATGGACTCCATTCCGCATTGGGAACTTTCTGGAGCGGAGAACTTGGCAGCTGCCTGTTTGACACCAATCTGCCCACGTATCTTACGCTGGGGGGTGGGAAGCACCCATAACTCAGGGCTCTGAGTGTCCCTGTGTCTCCCCCAGGTCTCCCGAACCGAAGCGTCCACCTTCGGCGCCTCCCACCACGTGGCCTACTTCGAGGCCTCGGCCAAGCTGCGCCTGAATGTGGACGAGGCCTTCGAGCAGCTGGTGAGGGCTGTCCGGTGAGTGGCGTCCCTGTGCGCGCGTCCCTGTGCGCGCGTCCCTGTGCGCGCGTCCCTGTGCGCGCGTCCCTGTGCGCGCGTCCCTGTGCGCGCGTCCCCGCTCATCCCTTTCCTCCCCAGACGATACCAGGAGCAGGAGCTGCCGCCCAGCCCGCCCAGCGCCCCCCGCAAGAAGGACAGGGGCTGCCCCTGTGTCCTCCTGTAGCCCCGGGGGGACAGCGGTGTCAGCACAAGCTCTCGGGACGGGACCAGCTATCCTCGCACCTCGCTGAGCCTCAGTTTCCCCGCCTGGGTCTCCCAGGATACACTACACTCTCCGACCCCTACTTCCCGGCCACCTCTGGCCGCTGCCACTGTGTGCCTTCTGCCATCGCCGCCTCTGGCCGCCCGCACTTCTGCTGGGGGTGAGGGGTTCCCGGGCAGCCAGGTCACTGCTGTATATAACCCCCCCTCGAAGAAATAAACGTCACTGCCAATGCCAGGGGCTGATTTTAAAACAGGGGAGGGGGCTCCGGGCAGGGTGGGCGAACACACACACACACACACACACACACACACACACGAAAACTCACTCCATCTGGAATCCTGAGCTGGGGAGGAACAGGAAAAATGCCAAACCAGGCATCAAGGGGTGGGATAATGGGCAACGGGACTCCCCCCTCAGGAGGGAAACCCCACATTTTCTATTTTCGTGAGCCCTCTGTTGGGAAAGAGATTTAAAAGTTTGGTGGGGCTTTCTTATACCTGGAAAGTTCTAGAACTTTCCATGGTCCCAAATGGCAACCAAAATCAGTTAGAGGCAGTTGAACCTTTTCTGACTCATCGCGACCCCACGTGATGAAGTACGACTGCCCCATAAGGTTTTCTTGACTGTAACCTTCTCAGGAGCCAAATGCCAATTCTTTCCAAGAGCTCCTGGGTGGATTTGAACTGTCAACCTTTCACTTTGCATCTGAGCACTTAACTAGAGCATCACTAGGGCTTCTTATTGTAGCCGGAAGCTACATGGGGCTATTTCAGTTCAGGGAACATAAAACTGAGTATTTTAGCTGTGGTTAGTGGCTACCCTCGTGGGCAGGGCCAACACATAACTTCTCCACCATTGCACAATGACTCGCGCATTATCAGACGGTGTTCTAGAAGTTTCCAGGATCTTGGAAGCATGTACTGTTACAAACCCTGCCTGTCCCCTCCACTCCCACTGTGCATGTATTGAGAAAGGCTACTTGGCTGGAGGGTAGAGAAGACGCGGTGGACAGAATTGTGTGTAAGTAGCCAAGTGGCAAATTCACACAGTTCCAGAAACTTCCTCAGTGAGGTCGTTGTTGAACTCTGCCTCTAACTCCGAAGGCTGTGTGGACGGGCCCGCCCATGGGAAGAGCAGAAGTCAGGGGTAAGGTGAGGCTTTAGAGTGGAGGTTGAGAACACATCTTGGTCTGGTAAAGTACCTCCGTCATATTTCCTGGGAACATTTAGACTCCTCTTCAACCCTGGATTCCTAATTCTTCAGTCCATCTGCTACTCCAGGCAGCTGCATCCAGAATGGAAGACCACCCACCCACCCCACTCAACACACCAGATCAGAAACCTCCTTCCAGATGTCTGTGTGCACACACTGGAATTTCAGTGTGTCATGAATCAAGGATACGCTCTGCTCAGGGACCCTCATCTCTGTAAATGCTGCCCTCACATCCACCTCAGAACCCGGTCCTGTAGCAGGTGGATCTACAAGGAACACTGGTTCCAAGCTGCTGCCACCTTCAGCTCACGGGAACTTCATCCTCAACAGTTGTTGAGGTCTGTGCCCTCCGCATGGCCAGTAGCAGATTGGATCCCTGATATCCCCGATTTTTGGAGTTGTTGTTGGGTACCATAGAGGCAGAACCGACCCACAGGGGACCCTCCAGCAGGTTTTCCAGCAGTTAATCACCTGGGGAGGAGATTACCCATCCTTCTCCTTCCTTCAGAGCAGCTGATGGCCTCGAACCACGTGCCTTTGGGATTGCAGTGCAGCTTCTTACCACTAGGCCACCAGAGCTCCCTGATTTTTGGGGTAGTTCACAGCATCTTTCTTCCTCATCTTATTCTGGAAGCTTTGCTGAAACATGTTCGGCTTGAGAGTCTCCACTTGACAGAGGGATTCGAACCTGCATCTCTTGCACAAGTAGGGTTCTTAACCACTGCACCCCAGCTCCTTTCTGGAATCAGGTTCCAACTAATTATTGACACCTGGTTGGAGCCAAATCAGGGCTGAGCCTCCACTGTGGTTTGGAGGCTGTAAATCACGTAGGAGGGGCGATTTGGTGGATTCAAACTTCCAGAGTCTCACCTCTTGGGTTGGCAGTGCAACTTCCTACCCTACAGAGCACCCGAGGCCTTCAGGGCGTTAAATCCAACCATGCCTCCTCAGTCCCATCTGTAAAATGGGCAGCAACCCAGGTGGGTGTAAATTCAAGAGGCTGGCACCCAGGGAAGGCGCACAGCGCCTGGGACGTACAAAGCACACAGTATCAATGACCATGGCCCCACTATTCTCCTGCCCCAGAACCATGAATGTCCCTCTTGTTTTCTGATAGAACAGTGATTAGCTCAATATCCCTTTCCGGGTCTCATTTTCCCTGAATGTTGGCCTAGATTCAACCTTCCACCCTGGGAATAAATTCAGCTGTGATGTATTGTGCCACAGCCCCGTTCTTCCCAAGAGGCTCAGCACTCCAGGGGCCCACCCCTGACGAGCAGCGTTATTGCAATCAGTTTCCCAAATAAGTCCTGACATTGTCACTCAAGGCCTAGCTAGGGATGAACTCCTCCCAAGAACCTGGATCTGGTTGACAAGAGGGAAGGACAGACAGTACGTGGACCCCCAGCTATCCCTCGCAAAAGAGGTCATTCCCACCCTTTTTCTATTTTGATGTGGGAGATTCACTTGGGATAAAGCTTCTCATTTGAAAAGATACAGGGTTGTGCTGGGCAGTTTGGCTAAGCCTTGTGGTTATTTCCATTCAAATTACGTGTATAAAATTAAAACTGTGAACTGTGGCTAGTGGCTTCCCTTGTAGACAGGCAAATATAGCACATCCATCATCGCAGAAAGTTATATTGGACAGTGCTGTTCTAGAAGGTTCCAGAAGCTGGCCCGTGCCAACATCCGCCCTGCCAAGTCCCACCGTCAACACTCCCCCAGCTGAGGGGCCGAGCCTATCCCTCGTGAGGTCAAGTTCTTGGCCAGGAGCCTCCACTCCTTGCAGGACTATTAAGATGTGCTTTTTGGGGTGATGAAACTTCTGCTTCCTCCAAAGAAAGGCACCCATAGAGACCCAAGCAACAACTGGCAGGCCATTTTTGGAAGGTTCTTGGCCACTATTCCACAGCTTCTTGGACAATGGCTAAGAGGCTGGGCCAGTCTTTTTGGCGTCTCCCGGGGAGCCTTGTTTGTGCTTGTCTGCATGGTTCCTGTCCACCCCTGGGCCCTGGCAGGCCCCGTGACTCAGTCTCTCTGGATCTTGGCATCTCCCTCTCTCCCCTTCTTGCCGTGTCTTGGGCCCATACCAAGCCTCTCAGGGTCTCCTCCAGTGATGATTAACAGGAACGATGAGCCTGGCCGAACAGTGCTTCAAACACATGGGCTTCCTCCATCTTGCCAAAAGCCCACTTTACAGATGACAAAGCTGAGGGCCAAGGCTGTCAGCCAGCGTGTTGTTTTAAGTGCTGGAGCTGGGATTTCATCTTGGGCAGCTTGTTCCAAACTACAGGGTTATCATTTGTCCCGTTCCTCCTCCTGTCCCCGTGGATAATCTTGAACCACCTTCTAAACATGTCACCTACTTCAGGGCTCCACCCTGATCCCAGAAAGTTAAAACCACCCAGCCCAGAACCCTGAAAAGGCCATCCTCGATTCTGTTAAATACATATTTCTAGAAAGTCAATCTTTGATTAAACTTTTTTTTTTTTTTGGCTGCCACACAAGGGTCTAGAACAATGAACTGAATCCCTGAATAGAGCAAATAATTCAGGTTTGAATAGAGCAAATAATTCAGATTGCTTGGCTGTGAACAGAAAGGTTGGAAGTTCAAGTCAGCTTAGGGGGCCCTTAAAAGGGCTGGCAAAACTAAAAAAACCCCAATCCTTTTTGAAGTCCTGTGTGGTACCTTAATAGGAACAACAACAACAAAATATAGACCAAAAATATCCCTCGAATGTTTTTTTTTCTTCTCTTCTCCAGCACCATAGCTCAAAGGCATCAATTCTTCTGTCATCTTTGCTCACTGTCCAGCGTATGCTATTATTTACTTACTGTAGGTCTAACCTCACTGCTTTCCTTTACAAAGTCTCCTAGCTGTCAGATTGATTCCCTTCTCTTCTCATATCTGGTTTCTCATTTCTGGTTGTGTTCTGGAATGTTCTTTTTAAAAATTATTATTTTGTGTGTGTGGGTGTGTACCGTCAAATCGGATCTGACTGGTACAGGAGGAGATTGCCCCTCCTTCTCCAGCAGAGCATCTGGGGGATTCGAACTGCGCACCTCTGAGATTGCAGTGCAGCTTCTTGCCACTAGGTCACCAGAGATCACTGGAAGTGTTCATCACAAACACATAGATAAACTAACAGAGGATGTTTGCACTCAACTATCTGTATGGGATCAAGTCAAAAAGAGCAATTCAGAAGACCAGACAAGAACTCAAGCCTGAGGAGTGAGATTGTGTGAATGGGGTGAGAACTCTGTGCAGAGCTTGCTCCCCCGAAGAACCAACGGTCACACAATGTACACTAGAAACGGCCAAATGAGATGCTTTCTGTTGGGAATCTTGGCAACAACAAAGCAAAGATCAAAAGGGCAGCACTTGCCTGGGGTGGGGGTGGGGTATAGAAAGCTCAGAGCGAGGGGAATGGTTAAACGGGAGATGTGGGGGTTACCGGAAGATTCCAACTCAAACCCTGTGAATTGGTAAACCAAGCTGCTCTGTAAACTTTCACCAAATAACAAATTAAAAACAAAACATCACCACCATCGCCACCACAATGGAATACTATGCAGCACTGAAAAATAAAGAACCCATGAACTATGCAAAATGGATGATCCTGGAGGACATTATGATGAGTGAAATATCTCACTCACAAAAGGACAAATATTGCATAGGGGCCACTGCTGTAAAACAGGACAGACACTGGGGTTGAGGGAAGGCAGAGGAGGAGGGGAGGAATGATATATATATACATATATACTGTATTGGAACAGATGAGGGAGAGAACTGTTTAAAAGGGAGACACGAATGGGTATTCTTGTCATGACAGGAGTCCAGAGTGAAGGCTGCACAGTGGAGTGGACTTGGGGGTAGGGATTGCATAACAATGAAAAGAGTTTTACTTTTCAAGGAGAAGACTGAATTGGGGGGAGGGTGTGGGCAGGGAGAAAAGTGCAACAATAAATGACTGGAAACCCTAAGTCTCTATAAACTTTCATTAAAGTTAACTGGGGAAAAAAAGATACATTTTTAACAGGCACAGTCCTGCATAAATATACAGACAGGCTCATCAAAAGCTGGAGTTGACCAGATGCTAAGTGATTTGGAACGAGAGCTTTCTCTCCATTTCATCTGAAGCATCTAGAACAGCAATGACCCACCCCCCTTGGGCCCCTACCCCCTGGTCGACCACCCACCCGCAGGGCAGATGTCAGGATTCTCAAACACCAGTGTTCCATTTCTGACCAAGAAGGCCTAGGTTTTAGAATGCCCTCAGCTGAGGCTAGCAGTTCTAGAACACGACCAGGGAGCCTCCGGATTCTTGATACTCTGATTCTAGAATATTACTTCTCAAACTTGGAAGTTCTCCAGAGTCATCAAGATTTTATTAAGAAGTGGATTCAAGGGAGTTCTGGTGGCCTAGTGGCAAGAAGCTGCACTGCAGTCCCAGAGGTGTGTGGTTCAAATCCACCAGAAGCTCTGCTGGAGGAGGGGCAATCTCCTCCTGTACCAGTCAGATCTGATTTGATAGCACACACACAAAATAATAATTAAAAAAAAAAGAGAGAAGTTGATTCAGTAGAACTGAAAAGTGGGCTGGCAAGATCTCAATTTCTACCATTTAGGGCAATGCTCACACACTTTTGAGAATCACCCTGTTCCTCAGTGTTGCAGGCCAGGCTCTAGAATATACAGTCAATTCACCTGCTGTCCTCTAGTTCGAGGGTTCAAGAACACAGAGGCCCCCCAAGTCATCATCAGAGAGCCAAGAATAAACCAGGCAACTCCTGACATCTGTGACAGCCCACCTTTTCTCCCATGGAGCAGATGGTGAAATCGAACCTTGTGCCTTTGGGTTGGCAGTGCAACTTCTTACCATTACACCGCTAGAGTCCCCTTGTGACCATCTGTAGTGATTTTAAAACACAATAATCAACTCTGGTGCCCTACCCTGCAGGAAAGAGAGCATTAATTCCCTTCTCTTTGTGCTAGATTTCGTGACTAGCTTCAAATGACCAGTGTAACAGGAGTGATGGTGGGTTATGTGCCAGGTTATGACCTGAAAGCTTTGTGATTCTCTCTTGGACCACTCGCTTGGGTTAGCTGCACTGTTAAGACATGGAGGTGGTGAGGAACCGACCCCTCCAGCCAACAGCCGTGTGAGAAGACCGCCTTGGCCATGGCTGTTCCTGACCACCCCTACTTTCAGATGACTGCAGCCCTGAGAAACCCAGGGCAGACCCTGACCTCGAGAGCAAGGCCCTTCACCCCCCTTTCCAGCAGCCTAGAACTGAACTCACTCCCATGGGGCCAACTCTCAGCTAAACTAAGACAGGCAGGTCTGCAAAGCGACTATGTTCTTGGAACAATTAACTGTGTAATATTCAAAGGGAAGCATCTGCCTATGGATAAAGCTGGAAGGGAGGGGTGAGGAGACTTGAGTGGAAAGGAGAATCCCAGGGAGGAAATGGGATGAGTTCTGCGGTCACAGTGTGGTGCCTAACTAGCACCATCAAACACAACGTGTCTGAAAGATTGAATAGAAAACCAATTTGCAGGGAGCTCTGGTGGCCTCGTGGCAAGAAGCTGCACTGCAATCCCAGAGGTAGGCGGTTCAAATCCACCAGAAGCTCTGCTGGAGAAAGAGGGGCCATCTCCTCCTGTACCAGTCAGATACGATTTGACGGTTGTTGTTAGGTGCCGTCGAGTAGTAGACGACTCATAGCGACCCTATGAACACAAAGCCTGAGCACTGTTCATACAGAGTGTCTGGAGACAAGCCATTTCGGAAGTGGATGTCGCTCCTGCTTCCAGGCTTGTTTTAGTTGGGAAGCTCCAGCCAACACTGTCCACCATGGGTACCCATTACCACGATTGGCACATCAGTGTCACAGGCTTCAGCATCACAGCAACCACGAGTTACCTCTGTACAGCAACGCACAGAACAGTGCTATAATTTGACGGTACACACACA